CCTTGTCCTTCTCTCCTCTTCTTCTGGTTGCTGCAGCAGCTCCTCCTCCTCTTTCTTCTCCTCTTCCTTTTTAATTTTTGTGTTTTGAGTCAAGGTCTCAGTGCGTAGCTCAGGCTGGCCCTCAGCTCACTGTAGCCTAGGCTGGCTTTGACCTTCCTGCCTCAGCTTCCCGTGTGCTGGGAGTATAGATGTGTGCCACTGTGCCCCACATGCAGAGCCCTGTTCAGCCCTCTTAGTATGCTGCCTTCCACGTCACCTGTGCCCACAAGTTCTTTGCTCTCCGCTGTTGCCAGAGTCTTCTGCTACTTTAGCAGTAATACTGTTTCACCTTTTTATATTTCTCTGTAAAGCTCACAGGGCTACTTACCCTGAGATTTTGTTTTGTCCCTGCCTGGCCAGCACCTCCTTCTCATCTTGCTTCTCTCCCCAAGTCAGTGGACATCTTTGCACCTTTCTTTCCCCATCTTCTTTTGGGGGTGCCCCTCATTGGTGTCCTGCTCCTGTACCTTAACCATGTATCCCTGTACCTTAACAGTATCCCTGTTCATGGGTGCTACTCACAGTAGTGGTAGTGATAACAAGGTTTATATAAAGTAACAGCTTGCAGTCACTGCTGGCTCAGTGAGAAGGTAGCCGTGACAAACCGGGTGCCACACACCCAGGGTCTGGCACTGCACTGGCAGAGCGAGGCCCTGTACCTGACACATGCTGACCCGTGCTCTGTGCCCCTCACCCGCTGCTGCCTCCAGCTCCTGCAGTGCTGAAGCTGTGCCTTCCCCACCTTTGTGATCTTTAAATGTCCTTGAGCGTCATCTAATCCCTTTGGATGCCTGGCTGTCCAAGAGCAGGCCTGTGAGGATCGTGGATAGTGGCAGGCACTGTGGACGGGGACACAGACAGGCTAACATCCCAGCTCTGCTTCTCTGAGGATTAGATGGTACACCACGCGGCAAGGCCCTCCTCTCAGACTTGGCTTGTAAGAAGTATTCAGTTGTATCCTAAGTCATGCTAGTATAGTCCTAGCTTTGAAGCACATCTATTTTTGTTCAGAAACCCAAAAATGAAAATGGGAGAGAAATTGGCTCTGCAGAGGAAATAGAAAAAGATAGAGGGAAGGGCTGAGATCAAGCCACACGGCTCCAGGGCCACCCTCTGCGGACTGTTGTCAAGTCACGTTGGTGGTTACAGGTACTTTATTTTGTCTGTAATATCAGGGTGAGCGTTCCTCACATCGTTGCCTTAATTGAGCCTGGGCAGCAGCCCTAAAACGTTTCTGGAGGACCGGTTCCTTTTATTGTCCTGAGTATTATAGCTTCAGAATGTATGAAAGGAAAAGCCAGTGAGGGAAGCGTGGGCCTCCTGGGTCTGAACAGAAGTATAGTAATGGTGATATCCTCCTACCTTCTGGGCAACTTTGTGACTCTGGGAAATGGTAGAGGCAGGAGCCCCTGCTTGAGTATCTGCCTTCTTACCTGTCTTTGTTTCTATAGCAGGGAGATGTGTGGGGACCGCATCTGTAAGAGCAGTGGGCCTGAGGTTTGGCTCCGTTTAGAGCATGTTCAAGCCTACAAGCCCACACCATCTGTATGAGGCCCAGCAGCGTGGCTTCTGTGTACTTGACAGGAAATGCAGGTTTGGAGGGAGAGGATGGATTCCCTTTGGACACATTAGCTCAAGACACCTGTGGGCCTTCAGGTGCATTAGCAAGAGGTCAGGGAGTGCGTTTGATTCAGGAGAGGGTAAGGCACAAGCTTTGGCCTTGGTGGAGATGACATTGCGTACACTGTAAAGGCAGCTGATACAGTGCTGCAGGGTGGTGCACAGGGCAGTGGGCTAGGGGAGGTGATGGCGACATAGGAGATGCAGACAGAGGGAACACATTATAGGGCTCCCTGGGGGTATCAGTGTGACAGGCCGCGGGAGGCCCGGTATTTTATACCCTGGCAAGTGCATGTGGTGAAGGGAAGCTTTCTGTACGAGTCCTATGTTAGGCACTGTCCTCATTGCGAGGACATTATACCTGATGCCTATGAGTTGGAGGAGGAAAGGCTCATGTTGGCTCACAGTTGGTGGAGGTTTCAGTTCCTAGTTGGCTGACTCCAAGGCGCAGGGGTGTAGTAGGGGAGAAACAGTCCACGGCAGGGTGGGCAGGAAGCAGAGCGAGAGCAAAGGAGGAGGGGAGAGGCCTTTGCAGTCCGGGCCCCCAGTGCCTCATCTCCTTCAGTCGAGCTTTGCCTTCTAGCATCACCTTCAGTTATACACTCATTGGTGGATGAATCACTGTGAGCATCACACCCCAACGGCCGTCACCTCCCCAGAGCCGTACTATGAGTGCATGAGGCTTTGGGGGACATCTAGATATAAGCCATTATAGTTTATCAGTTATTTTTGATGGATGAGATGGGCTTGTCCTGTTATTGCCAAGGGAAAATGCCATTGGAGAGATTGAAGCTGAGGATCCAGGTGGATGAGGGAGTGGGCTAGAGGCCGCTGAGGGAAGTGGAGAGCTGGGATGGCGCAGGGTGCAGTGGCTGGAGAATAAGGTTGCAGGGGTGAGTGTAGTGAATTGCATGACAGAGAACTCAGTGAGAGGTTCCTGGCTCGGCTTTTCTTTTTGAAATGGGGAAACAACGTGGCCATCTGGTGAGAGTGGCTGGTAAGTGTTTTAAGCTAGAGGAACCACACGGAAGGTGGCAGAGGCTTGAGTGAAGAGAGAGTGGATGGTGAGTGCTTCAGGGACCAGCTGTGAGTATCTGGCCTGTGCCCTGGTGTGCCTGGTGTGGGTGTGGGCTGCACCCTCTGGGGTTTGAGTGAAGGCAGAAAGCAAGAAAAGTTGGCTCAAGAAGTGCCATGTGCCCCCGAGGAGTGGAGACAACACAGACAGAGTGGGGAAAGTGGGGTTAGGAGCTGTGCACAAGCATTAAGCTGCGGGCTTGGGTTTGTGGACCCGTAGTGGGGTGTGAGCCAGCTTGGGAGCTGGGGTGCTGCTCTGTGAGATTGCTTTCTTGCCAGTGGAGGTGGAGCTGGTGGCAGCTGCATCCCAGCTGGATGTAGGCTCATGGTTCCCCTAGATTTAGATGAGGTTTGTACCATCCGAGGTTCCCCTGTGATTGCGCAGGGTCCTGGGTTTGGACAACAGTGTGGCTTTTAAAGATATCATGAAGAAGGAATGTTAAGCTAACAGTGTCCTGGATTTACTTGTTTTGGCCTTCAATTTGTATTTTAAAAATATAAATAAAAGGTCCGACCAGATAGCTCAGTGGATTAAAGCCCCTGCTAAGACAGGCGCAGGGTCCAGGGTTCAGTCCCCTGCATGCCATGCCTGCTCTGCCCCCAGGATACGCTGAGACTGCAATTGAGACTGGGTTTGCTGGTATGTGCTGGTAATCCCAGAGCTTGGGAGGCTGAAAACAGGAGAATCACTGAGTCCAATCTATGTAGTGAGACCTGTACTAAATACATTAAGAAAAAAAATATATATATATATATATGTGTGTGTGTGTGTGTGTGTGTGTGTGTGTATATATATATATATATATATGTATATATGTAAACGAAAAGTGAAAAGCACTTCTTGCTCATGCTGAGTGGCGGTGTAGCCACTTTCCTCTGTTGACTTACATGTCTTCTGTCTCTCCAGGACCGTAACAATGCCCGGCAGATCCACGAGGGGGCCAGCTTGCCATTTTTTGAAGTGTTTGTCGACGCTCCTTTGCACGTTTGTGAGCAGAGGGATGTCAAAGGGCTCTACAAGAAGGCACGAGCTGGAGAAATTAAAGGCAAGTGACGCTTTCTTCCAAGTCTTCTTGGTGCAGTTTGCTGCCTGTCTCTGGGTCTGATGCTCTTTTCTAAGGATGGATGTGGTGGCTTGGGGCTCCTTTTCTCTCACTGGACTAAAAGTAGCACACCCTGATATCCCGGGACATGATGCCAATGAGATAGAGCTGGACTGCAAAGGTGGTACAGCCTGTGTGGTTTGGCGGGCAGCTGTTGTGAGGCCCCAGCAGTCACTGCTTCCCTCTAAAAATGTGGGGGCCATAGTACTAGTGGAAAAAATGCCTCTGTTCTGAGCATCTCGATGGCTCGTACTTGTAGCACTTGGAATGGTCCCCAGTTTGTTCTGAGCAAGACTGTTGAGTTAGATTGGATTAGCATGTTATCCATTCCTTTAATACGCATGCCCAGCTTTGGAGGCGAACTTGAGGGCCAGCTTTCCTGCTGCCCTTGATGGTGGCCATATTCGATCTGGAGCCCAGGTTCCTTTTCACAGGAAGGCAAGGGTAAGCTGTAGGTGGCTGGCAGATCCACGCTGTCCTCTGTGCTCCCTCCCGCTGTTCCCTACTCACCTGCACACAGGGAGATAAGGATTTGAGGCCTGCTAGCCCTTCCATCTCCCTGGAGTTCGCCTGGAGTCAGTGCTTTGCCCAGCCTTCTCTGACTTGGTCAGCTGCAAGCAAAGGAGCCTGAGCTTGTGAACTGGTGGCTGGTGCAGGTGTCCTCTGATGCCTGTCCTGTTGCATCAGTGTTAATGGAAATGGAGAACATGGCCACTTGGGAAGCCAACAATGAATGGGTATCATTTAAGGGTCAGCGATTCCCTCAGGTCACTTTGTTTAAGCCAGTGAGATTGGATTTTCTTTTCTTTTTTATACTGGGGATTGAACTCAGGACCTTGCATTTGCTAGGCAGGTGCTTATGCCACTGAGCTATATGCTGGACCCTTCCTAAGGTCACTTTGTTTTGTTTTCCCAGCATAGATGAGGTAGCCACGTTCCATTCCCAGAGTTCTTCCCTCAGCTCTGAATTCTAGATTTTGGTGTTCAGTTTCTGACCCTGAAAAGGGAAAGGCTAAAGGAGTAGGAAAATGCTTGTTACTCTGGGCTTTTCTGATCTAGATGGTGGAGCAGGTCAATACTCTTAGTGACTGGGAGCCCATAGTGTAGCTCTGGCACCCTCCTGCTGCCTGTGGCAGCTCCAGGGTTAGTTGTCCTAACTCCTTGGGCTCTCCCTGATCCTGGGAAAAATGGTGGTGGGATGTGGAAAATATAGATAGGAGACAAGACTGGGCCAGATGGTGCCCTCTTTCCCGATGGGAGCAGAGCTGCCCAAGAGCCCTAGAGTTGTACCCTCAGGAGGTTGGTGTCCGCTTCAGCTTCTCTGCCTGACAGCCAGCTAGCAAGGTTACTTACGTGGCTGGAGGAGCTCCTGTGTTCTCCCACCAGCTTTGTCTTAGCCCTGCATATGTGATTGATTGCAGCTTTAGCTGTTGCCTACAGTGGCGTCACTGCCCGGCATCCTTTTGGCCGGCCCACCTGTGAAGCTGGTACTGTTCCCCAGGAAACAGCTAGCCCAGACTGGAGGGGAGAGGGGACAAGCTTTGCCCTCCAGCCAGTGTGCCCCTTGGGTGATGGCTGAGTTTTGTGTGGATTTGACATAGAGGGGCAGAGCAGATCCAGAAATCCCTGCACCTTTTACTTCAACTGTAACTGAGTGTGCTGTTTTTGTGAGGGTACATTGGTGAGGGAGGAAGATTCGTCTGCCTGGCTGGAGTGAGCTGCTGTGAGCAGGGACAGCAGACGTTTTGTATCTTTAGAATCAAGCATGGTACAGTTGAAGCATCTAGCTGTGAGGTGGCCAGTGACAAGGAGGGGAACAGATGCTCAGCACCTATGCTTTCCGTCTGTGTCTGGGGCAGAGATAAGCACAAATCCAGAGTGTCCCTGTGTCATTTCCAGTTGGTATGCTGAGACTGGGCACTGTTGGGTTGGTTCCTTTTTACTTTTTCAAGTGTGGTTACATTCAGTGTAGACTTTGATAGAAGGTTCCTTAGGTTAATGTGTTTGCGCGTGTGTATGAGCGTGTGTGATACTCACGACATTGCTTTAGTTTTGTCATGGTGTTGGAAGTTCGATTATAGAGTTGTTTAGTTTCTGAAAAGTCATCAAAACTCATCAAAATGGTGGGCAGCGAGTTCCCTGTCAGTGCCCTTTTACACCGTGATAGTGAACATCATGGGCCGAACGGCATTTGGGAAAGTTCAGGCTCTTACAGATCTTTGATGACGCTTGCTAGACGGTAAATACATCCCCAGGCCAGCCGCTCTAACGTCTAGATCATTTCATGCTTACTCTGAAGTAGTTCTGTGTTACCGACTTGAGCATCAATCAGTGACTTTTTTCCAGCAAGTCTTTTCTGTCACCACCTGTGGGACAAATCAGCCAGCGGTGGAGTTCTAGATTGCTGTTTTTCCATTCCAGTGCTGCTAACCAGGGTGGTTGTCTGGCTTTCCTGCCAGTTACCCTGACTGTGTGGATGTGCCAGGCTGGTCCCCATTGGGGCACCATGGGCATGGCCCATCCTGGTGTACACTCAGGTTTGAGAATTAGAGCAGAACAATTAGTCTCCTAACCGGAAGGGTTTCTTTTTTCAGCTACTTAAATTTGTGAACCATCACTAACTACTGTTGGGAATACTGGTAATACAGAAATTTTTTTCTTGCATTTGGGACTTGAGGTGCTATTTAGAAATAGAAACAAAAAAAGAGTCAAATGAATGAGCTATGCATCAGTGTGTTAAATAAGGTGTCTTTCAATAGAAATCCACACAGAATGAAGTGAAAGACAAAAACATGAGCAGGGTCTGCAGGAACTGAAGTTGACGTTTTCTGGGGAGGGGTGGGCAGGATGCCCTGTTCAGCAGTGTCCTGTGAGCAAGGAGAGACCACTGTTCATTCAGAGAACAGAGGAGAGTTTAAGTCGCAAGTCTTCTGAGCAAGATATGTCCTTCCCGTCCTGAGTACATGTCCCAGCCCAGAGGGGACATGGTAGATTTCTGCATCCACCAAGAAACTTTGCACTCCTGAAGTAAACTGCTACCTCTTACAGGCTTCACTGGGATTGATTCAGAGTACGAGAAGCCAGAAGCCCCGGAGCTGGTGCTGAAGACAGATTCCTGTGATGTGAACGACTGCGTCCAGCAAGTCGTGGAGCTGCTGCAGGAGCGGGTGAGAGGGCTCGGGGAGTCACGCCCCACTCCAGGCGCACTGAGGTCAGGTTGTACTTATCTGTTAAATTCTTCATAGTGCTAGCAGGTGTGTGTGTGTGTGTGTGTGTGTGTGTGTGTGGTGTGAGGTGGGTGTTCTACTATCTCAATCTGTAAACTTAAGAAAGCTTAGGAGTTAGATCTAAGATTTTGTCAGTAGTTTTACCATGTAGATTCCTAAGAGCCACGGTGCAGCCATGGCTGTTGAGGCCTGTAGCTTGTGGTCTTAGAGATGTCAGGTTTACATGCGCAGTAAGTTTCCTGGATGTTAGGGGGTGCCTGAGTCTTCCCAGTGATAACTGGCCATGTTGTGGTGCTAGACTAGAGGAGGCACCTGGGGAGGTGGCACTGGGACAGAAGCGCCCTCTCTGGTACTTGGGTGGGTGGGCACACACAGAGGCCTGGCTGGCTGCATCAAGGCAGAGGGTGGGGCCCACTGAGCAGTGCCATTCTTCCATGCCCCCTCTCAGCTGCCCGGCCCCCTTGCTTGGCTCCTTAGCTTCCGTTGCTTTGCTGTCACCCCTGCCACAGTGCCAGGCAGTGAGAAGCTGTCCTTCTTTGGTCTCTCCTGACTGGGTTCTGGAGGGTAAACCTCCTGTTGAGCTCCAGCATCTAATGTGTTAGATGGAGCTCTGGAAGCCGCTCCTGTGACTGAACATAGCAGGTGCGTAGCCGCTAGATTTTTCTCATTACAGAGTTTGTGCAGGTACTTACCTTGGGACTTTTTCCCCATTTACATCCCTTGTCCAGAGGTCTTCCCTGGATAAACGCAGTGTTGCATTTTGCTTCAAAGGTTTAGTGCACCAAAGGCCAAACTGGCTGAGTTAAGGAGTCAGACACCTGGGTTCCTGTGCTGCCCGCTGCGTCTCTGCACTCCACACTCAAGTGGGGTGGGATCCCTCGTCTAGGTGCCAGGCAGTGTGGGGAGAGGCCATGGCTGTAGCCAGCAGGTTCTAGGCAGTAGTGATCTGAGAGATCTAGTTGGGAGTTTATGCTGTGAGTGACAGGAACAAGAACCAAGGGCATGTCACCCTGGGATGTGTCTCAGTGTGGCCCTGGTGTCCATAGAGGGACAGAGCAGGGAGTCTGGCAAGACTCGATTTCCCATCTTCCTTCTCGTTTGGCTGAGCTCCACCGCCTTGCGACTTGATAGGTCTGTCTTTCCTGTTACTGCACCGCGCCTCTGTGTGCCGATCATTCCCAGGCTGTCTTCTAAAGTGCGTTTCACTCCAGAACACTTTAGGCTTTCCCATGGTGTATGGAACTAAGCAGATTGGTGCTCAGGGTTCTTTGTCATTTGATTTCGAGCTGGATGTTTTCTTTACTGTGTTGTCTTCCACTATAGCATTACACCTGTCTGTCTGTCCGCCTTTCTCTGTATCGTTCTCTTTCTCGCCTGGTCTTCACCTCCAGAACGCCAGTGAGCACTTTTCTCCTCGCTTGCCCTCACCAGCGGCAGCACTGATCACCCTGCCATGCTGTCTAGACAGTGCATTCAGAGCAGTTTCATGCACGGTTTGGAATGGGTGGGGCAGGTAAGAAATAAACACTCACTGAGCATTTAGGGTCAGGGACACCTACAGGCCCATGTGTCTTCTCCAAATGACTTGTCCTGTGAGAGTGCGGAGGTTGCCTTTCTCTTGTGTCAGCTCCAGCCACTTCTGCTTGGATTACTATAGTGTCCCCAATAGTCCTTGTATTTTATTCACACAGTAAATGCTGGAGTTTTTCAGAGAAGTTAAAAAACCTGCTTGTGGATATTGAATTCTCCACCCAAGTGTTGTGCAGTCACTTTTGTACGCTTTAGCACTTGCTTGCAGGACTTCTCATGCCATTTGTAGTTCAGTATAATGGAATCTATTGGAAAGGGGTGTTGCTTGCATTAACTTACAGCAGGGATGTTTCTTATGAAAAATTACTTGTGTTCATCATAAACTGGGTGGCGACAGAGCAATGCCACTGCCCCCTCAACTCAGTGCTGCCTTCTGGCTCACCCTTCTTTGGGAACAGAGATTGCGCTTCCCTTGCAGTTGGCCCTGTTTGTGCCGTGTGGAGATGCTGCTGCATACACTGATGATGTGGGAGAGAGTTAAATGATAGAATTTCCTAGCTGGGCGTGGTGGCGCATCCTAGTCCTAGCCTTCTGGGAGCTGAGGCAGGAGGATCACAAGTCCGAACCCAGCCTGGGCAGTTTAGCAGTGTGTCCTCATCACAGCGTGACTGGTGTAAAGCATACGTTCCAGACACACCTCTTCTGCCCAGGTATTGAGAGCAGCTCTGCTTCGTCTCGGTGTGTTCTCAGCACGCGTAGGTGCTGGCAGGTACTGATCAGATGCAGCTAGGGTTAGCACAGAGCCTGCTTCCCACTCCACATGGCACGTGGTGGGGATCCGGGCAGTTGTGGGGTGGAGAGAGGCCCTGCCTCAGTTCCTGCAGTGCCTCCCATGCGTGTGGTTCTTTCTTTGTGTGAGTCCTGAGTCAGGTACATGAGCTGCCTGAGCAGTTGTGACTGAGATCTCCCTTGGGAAGCGGGGCACAGGGAGGGAATGTTTGTCCAAGGGCAGTGGGATCAGGAGTGGGGTGGGGGCATTTGAGGGGCATTGCAGCTTGGAGGCTCAGGTAGAGGGTGACATGGCCCAGCGGGGGCTTCAGGGCAAGGTGAGGTGGGTATGGAAGCTGGTGACCATTAACCTTGGGAGCATCAGTCCAGGGCCAGCCAGGAGAATGCTGGCCAGATGTCCTTGGGGAAGGTTTGTTTTTCCTTAGGGAGCTGGTAATGGGGCTTGAACCCAGAGCCTTTGCCTTGGGCTAGGTCCTCTAGATCTCCTTTTCTTAGTTTTAGTTTTGAGACAGCTGTCACTGAGTTGCTGATTTGCCCATGCTGGGCGCAGAACTTGTGATCCTTCTGCCTCAGCCTCCCAGAGTGCTGGGAGGACAGGAGAGTGCTGTCGCACCCAGGCTCCTGGAAGTGCTTTTTGAGTCAGGTTGCTAAGGTCCTTGTATAAGGGTGTGGTCTGCTAGTCACTTGTGCTAGCTCCTGCTCTTAGTTGTGTGTGTGTGTGTGTGAGAGAGAGAGTGTGTGTGTGTGTGAGTGGCCGATCCCTGGCTGGGTAAGCTTTCTTCCTTTGTTTTCTCTTTTCATTTTGCTTCTCCTCTCTTGTCTCTTTCCTTTTCCTTTTTTATTTTCTCTTTTCTTTCTTCTTAAAGAGTTTGACATAGGTAACTCGATTTTGATGTGGTGAAAGAAAGCTAAGTGATTTTTCTAGAAGGCTATGTTTGTTTAGGGTCCTACGTTTATTTGTTTAGGGTCCTAAACATTGGGTTGTAAATGGGTGACTTGGGGTGTTGTTCCACTTGCAATGCAAAGTTCACTTCTAAATAAGTGTAGTTAGCCAGGGTGGTGTGTGGCTCATTGCGTATCCATGAGGATGGGGGATGAGGGGCGCTGTTGCTTTGAGGCCAGCCTGGGCTCTGTAGCTGGGCCTGGTCTAAACAAGAGTGGGAGGTGCAGCTTCCTGAAGAGACCTCTGCATGGTCCAGGAAGAACGTGTGTGCATACAGCGTTTCCTTTAGGACGATGACCGCTTTGCTTACCCCAGCATTGTATCGTGACCTCAAGGACAGCGTGACCTCCCATTGGTTGCCTTTCTCTCTTTCTTTGTGGCAGTGTGGTTGGTGTACTTGGGACCCATTACCTGGCCACTTGGGTGAAGGCTGTGTGCAGCAAGGTTCTCTCCGTGTCCCTCCCTTGGCAGCAGCTGTTCAGGGCTGTGTGAGACTTCTGCCATCCAGGGCTTGAATTTAAGTAACTTCTCAACCCTCCTCGGTCACTAGGTGGCCTGCTCGGATCACACTTTAACGTGGCTGCTTAGGACAGGGCAAGCGAGCTCCTTGCTGCTGGTTTTAATCTAGAGTGATATTTTAAATGCTGGTTTCAAAAATACAGGGCCTCGGCATATGCCAGTGCTGTAGCCGAGGTAAAGTTTGTCTGTACAGAGTGGTGGTTCTGAGAGCATTTTGTCTGTGCCAGAGCTCGGGTGGTGCAGGGACAGGGCCTGAGGGGCTCCCAGACGACAGAGAGGGAATCACAGCAGGTTTGGGTGGGCCCAGGCATTCACGTCCACTGAGCAGATTCCGCTCTGGAAAAAGTGTAGAAAATACCGTTTATAGTCTCTGGTCGGGGCCTCAGGGGGATGGCGGCGTGAGCACCAGGGTGGGAGCTGCTCCTCTGCGGCCGTGAACCTGCTGCCGCCCTCCAGGGAAAGACCAGCAGCCATCTCTTTGCACAAGGATGCAGCTGCAGCATGGGTGGGAGTTTAAATTGTTTTTAGTCCATCAGGCAAAAAAGCAAAGGTTTGCAGCCCATGTTACATTTTAAATTTACCATTTCACCTGGATGATATTTAAATATTTCTAGACTGACAGGCTGTACAGCTTACCCCTCAGTACTAGTGACCTGTGGATTGTACCCTGGGCCTTGCCAGGACTTGGAGTACCTGCTCAGGGTCCCCTTTACCTGAAAGGCTGGGGGCCTGGAGTTCTTGAGAAGGGGGTGGAGCCAGACATCCTGACACACACCTATCATCCTCTGGGAGGCTGAGGCAGGAGAATCGAAAGTTTGAGCCCAGCCTGGGCGATTTAATGACTTAGTGAAACTCTGCCTCAAAATAAAAAATAATAAAAAGAAAAGGGCTGGGGGTGTAGCTCAGTGTGGTGGTTCTGGGTCCCGTCTTCAGTGCCAATAAAAAAAAAAACAAAAACAAAACTGGGCGTGTTGGTGCATCTGTAATCCCATCACTCAAGAGGCTGAGGCAGGAGGAATGCTGTGAGTTTGAGGCCAGCCTGGGCTACAAAGTGAGTTGAAGACCAGCCTGAACTGCACAGTGAGACCCTGTCTCAAAAAGAGAAAATAAATAAGTATTAAGAACAAAAAAAAAAAAAAAAAGGGGAGAGGAGGGGAGCGATGTGTAGGGAATGTGACACTTTCTCTGACCTGGCCTGTGTTGTGTTTTGTGTTTCAAAGGAAGTTTGTGAAAACAAAGGCTCTCCGTACACAGGTTAAGAGGAGAACATGGTTTCTCCTAGCTGAGTCTGTCTGTGGAATTCTGGATGAATCGCATATCACGCCAACACTGTTGTCCCTCACCAACAGTGGCAGCGACTTCACTGGTGTCCAGGTATCTCATCTCCTGTTGAGGTGGTTTTGTGCCTCTTGAATGTTTAGAGGTGGTTTTGGAAGCTGAAAGATTTGTCCTAGAGTATGCTAGAGACTGGTGAGGTCCGCATTTGTAAGACTCCTGTCTTCTTCTTTTGTCCCTGTACCAAGCTTCTGTAGAGCCCTTCTACTGGGCAGCGGCTCCTGTCGCTCTCAGTTTGTGCCACCGAGTGGACAGATTCCAGACACATTGCTTGTCTTTTTCATTAGATGCCAAGTAGAGTCGTCTTTTGGCCTTGATGAGTCACGAACAGAGCTGTGTCTGAGATGTCTGGCTAACATACACCTAAAAGTATTGCTGCATGTGAATTTGGAAGAGAATTTTGCAAAGTGCTAATAACGAAAATACGATTTTGACTCTAAAATAAAATACGAATGATTGCCTCTCTTATCTTGAAAAGGGAGAGAGAGGCACACCTGTGTGTTGATCCAGGAAAGACAGTGCACGACCGAGCGTGCCTTCTTGCTAGCGCGTGGTTGTGTGTGCATAGAGTACTTCACAGAGCGACGTGGCAGGCCCGCAGAGTGGACACTGGCTGTGTCCTGTTCAGGATGGTTATCTTGGAGACATTTCTGTTTGCTCGCTAGCTGTTGGTGCATTTGTGTCTTGGAGGTGTGGTTGGAAGGAAGTAGAGATTTTGTCTATAGAAAGTTTTGTTAATTTGTAGTTCTCTTTATTTTTTGGTGGTTCTGGGGACTGAATTCAGGGCCCTTGCCCTGAGCTACATCCCTAGCACCTTTTTTATTTTTTGCTTTGAGACAGGGTCTGGCTAAGTCTCTAAATTGCTCAAGCTGAGCTTGGTCACCCTCCTACCTCAGCCTCCCGGAGTGCCAGGACTTCACAGTTTTTGTTTTGAAGGTGTCTCTGCAGAGTAGCGTCAGGTGCTGGGGAGACCACAGCAGGAGGTACAGGCACGGCCTGTCATGTGGAGCACACTGCTCATCGGGACCTGTGTGCAGCATCGGGGGACAGGGACTTAGGGAAGTAGACAGAAATGCCCTGCTGCAAGAAGAGGTGAAAAGATGAGTCTGTGGGGTGCCCTGCCCATTGGTGACAAGCAAACAGGAAAGCTCCGCTGGAAGGTGTTCTTGTCCAGAGGTGAGGCTCTGCCCTTCTCGGGAGCCCCAAGTCTCTGTTCCCAGACTGCACATTTTGAAGTTCCAAACATGGGGAGTCAGAAGCTGGGGAAAAAGAAATTGATCACAGCAGCAGTGTTTGAAAAGCTTAGCTGAGAACTTCCTTTCCCTTGGGTAGAACCATTTAGGTATAACGGAAATGTGGGCTGGGTTGACCTTGGTCTTGACCTTTACCAACATGCTGAGAGATCGCCTCCTGCCAGTGGTCTGGGAATTACAGCTGCTTGCTAAGGAAAAAACTCATGAACAAGGGCCAGAGATGTAGCTCATTGGCACAGCGCCTGCTTGGCAAATGTGAGGTTGTGAGTTCAATTCCTGCTACCCATCCCCATATACACACCCCAGAGACAGCTCATGAACAGTTTGTGGGACAGAGTAGTTCAAACTTTAGCTTACACTGGAGAAGCAGGAAAGGGTGTTTTTGGGATTGCATATTGGGACCTTAGTCAGATTCTGCCAGCTAGTGGTATGGCCTTGCAAAGGAGACCCTGCTTGCCCTGCTTCCAGTGGAAGGAGTCCAGATGATTGACAGCCAGCAGGTGTCCTTAGTAAGGCTGTGGCTGTCTCCTGGGAGTGCCTGCGTGTGCCTGTGCGTAGCGACTCCAGTACCCGTGGAGCGCACAGCCCCGCTGTGGAAATGGGCACTTGGAGCCGTCAGAATGGACGGTTTCTCCAGCCATGCCGGTGGCAGTGAAGCTGGTATGTTCTGTTGCGTTTTGTTTGTTTTCTAGTATGTTTTGTCCCATCTGTTTGGGTTACTGCCTGTTTGCAGTCGCCCAAATTTGATGAGGACTGTGGGGTAGGAATAGATGCTTTTGTGTGTGAAGTTGTGTTTGCGTGCATCTTGCATGAGGTTGTATCTGCTTGAGAGTGAGGAGACCAGGAGGAAAATTGGCTGGAGAAACATGGCACAGAAAGCCCTCTTGTGCTGGTTGGCTTTGTTTCGTTTTGGGTGTACTGGGGACTCAACCCATGGGTGGTGAGCTGCACCCGTGCCCTAGCTTTCTTCTGTGTTAGTATTTGCAAGCGTACCTCAGCTGGTTCCAGCCTCCTGGGTAGCTGGGATCCCAGTGTCCTGCGCTCTGCCATTGTCTGTCTGTGAACATCTTTTTAAAAAAGCTTTTTTTCTCGTTAATCTTTTATTTACTGGTTCGGTCCGGGGTCCCACTGTACAGCTTAGGCTCATAGTGATCCTCCTGTCTCAGCCTCCTCAGCACTGGGATTACAGGCCTTCGCCACTGTATCTGGTCTCAGTGGCTGGCTCGGCATGGGACCAGCACGGCACGTGGTACTGGGGATTGAACCCAGGTCCTTGTGCTTGCCCGGCAGGCACCTCGCCTGCTGAGCTATCTCCCCAGCCCCTGTCTGTGAACTTTTTGAGATGACTCACCTCACTAAGCATCCCTGTAAGGCTCTGTGCCGGTGAATCACACTTCGAGTCCTGCTTTTGTTTTTATAAAGGACATTGTTCCTGTGGACGCCTCTTATGAGGTGAAAGAACTTTATGTGCCGGAAAACAAACTACACTTGGCGAAAACCGATGCGGAGTCGTTGCCAGTGCTGCAGATTAACAAGGTGAGTCGGGGCTGCCTTCCACGCCGCGAGGCAGAGCGCTGAGTCTGGGCACGGCATGTGCGCAGTGCGGAGGCCTGGGTGTCGGGGCGCGCCGGGCCGGCGCCTCCGGGCCGGGAAAGTGCTCAGCGCGTGGGGTCCTTCTCGCCCCTTCCGTGGCTTCCATCGACTTCTAGTCAGAGTATTTACTTACTTTGAAATATCAAAGGAAGTTTGTCAGAGTTTTGGTATAAGGGAAAGACTGGAAAAGATTGAATTCTACAACATTAAGAAATACTAATCCCTGATAATTAAAATGATTTTTTACCTTTAAACATGATTTTTTGCCTTAGTCTCCTGGCTAACACCTAACTCTCTCGTATATTAACAGTGATTAATATACTAAGAATAACTTGATTGCATATCTTGGATCTTGTAAAATCGTTAGGTGTCTTTTCTAGTTAATTTCTAATTTCATTTAGGGATGATAAAAATTGAAATTACAATTTATTTCTCTATCTTGTACAATTTTAAGTTGTACCATTTGTGTATATTTTAGAAGCAGGTTACAGAACGAGGCTATGGACCAGGAATTGGGTTTCCCAGCTTTTGTTTTGTGATAGCAAATTCCAGGGCACCCAGGGAAGTGCCAGGCCCATACAGGGCTTCGCGGGCACCGAGGAGGTTGGCGGGTCCCTGAGGAGAGCCTCCTGAGGGCTGTGTGTGGGACCTGGCGTTACAGGGAAGCTGAAGGTTCCAGAAATGAGCCTTCAGGAAGTAAGGCTCATGTTCTCTGTCATGGGCAAGGGATTGTTTTGCTAAGTGCTTCTTATTTAAGGCTTCCTTTGTTTTAGCATGGTGTTTATCAAAATACAGTTTCCAGATCTTGCTGATTAGTATTTTGCGGGCTTATAAGACAAATATGAAGTATCTCATAGTGAACTGACCTAATAAACTGTATATAGGGCTGGGGATATAGCTCAGCAACACAGGCGCCTGCCTGGCAAGCTCAGGGTCCTGAGTTCAATTCTTGGTACCAAAAAAACAAAAACCAAACCCCCTGTGCATTAAGTGCTCTTTATTTGAGCAATCCTTCCTAGGCATCTGATGCACAGAGTTTGGGAGCTGCTGGTGTTGGGGAAGGTGTCCTTACCAGAAGTGCTTCAACGTCTAAATGTGATAGATGTGCTTAGTGGAGTATTACTCAGCCATGAGAAGCATGCATCAGAATCATTTGGAGGAGAATAGGTGGATCTTGAAACCGTAATGCTAAGTGAAACACCTCAGACACAGAGGGCTATCAGATGTTTTGCTTTATATGAGAAAGCCAAATATAATTAATACAAAGAGAAAAATAAGAGAGGTGATAGGAAACAGGGAGGTACACAGCAGGCCTAATGTTCTTAAAGTTATTATGAAACCTTAATTTTTTCCTTGTACTCTTATTTTTTGTTAGGTTCATAGAATCATCCTTATAATGCTTGTTCCCATCCTGCAGAATTCAGCCCTGCAGGCTTGTGGATGCACAGCCTGGACACCTGTCCCTGTCTCCCGCAGGTGGACATGCAGTGGGTCCAGGTGCTGGCAGAGGGCTGGGCCACCCCGCTGGGGGGCTTCATGAGGGAGCGCGAGTACCTTCAGTGCCTTCACTTCGACTGTCTCCTGGACGGTGAGCATGGGAGGTGTTTGCCACTGCACATGAAGAGCAGTGCTGACAGCTGCCTTTCAGGCTGCCACATCAGCCCTGAGTGCAGGCGTGAGATTGCACGTCCGCTTCTCTTCCCTATTGTGGTTTGTTGCTCTGGAGACGGGGGTGAGGATGGGTTGCAGAAACTGCAGCCTCCTTGTGCCCCAGCCCCAGGTCACTGTGAGAGCTGCCCTGTGGTGCACACATGCACAGCCGTGGAAGCCTAGAGTCCAGCCTTCCGTAGCAGAGTCATGGAGTCCTGTGGAAGGAGCTGGTGGCCAAGCCCATGGCTCTTCCTATTCTAAGGAGTATTAAAACTGCCCCAAAGAGCCTGGCACCTGTGTGTTATTATCCCAGTCCGGCTGCTTTACCCTTTGTGGTGTGTGCTGTCAGTGAGTATCCTGGAGTATACAGTAAAGACAGTGCTTTTGTTTTTTGTTTGTTGCTTTTTCTTTGAGATAGGGTCTTGCTGTGTAGTTCAGGCTGGACTCAAGCTCAATATGTAGCGCAGGCTGGCCATGAACTTGCATCGCTCTTCCTGCTGAGCTTCCTGCCTTAGCATGCACCACCACACCTGGCAAGAGAGTGTCAAGGAACCCCCCTGACTTGATCCCAACTTTTTCTTCTTCCTGCTGAAGGATTGGTAGGAAACATATTCCTGATCATTCTCACAGAGAAACTTTGGAGAATGAAGTGTCCCCTTTGATTTTCCCTGGGGAGTTTGTGGGGTCCCCACACTGCTGCTCAGTGACAGCCCAGGCATGAGCTCATTTTACTTTCCACTGTTGTTGTGCCTGGTGGTGGTGGCTTTTGGAGTGGCCAGTTGTCCCTGGTGCTGCCTTTGGTCCAGGAGACCACACTGTGAGGACATTGTGTCTTTCCAAGCTGCACACGGTGAGCTCACAAATAGTAAACCAAACCTCTTCAGCTGGAAAGATTGGGACCAGAAGCATTGCTGAGGTGTCACAGACAGGGAGTTTGGTGTGAATGATGCTGCCGTTGGCTGCTTCTGTTCTGTGGCCAGTAGTAGCTGATGTTGGTTTGATAGTAATAGAACAGTGGAGAGGGTGGTGTTTTTGTCTTCCTGCCATGAGGCTGTCCAGATAGAATCACTTAACATGGGGCCCCATCATTCTGATTACAAGAAAGGTGTGTGTTTGGTTGAAAAACACTGTTTTTTGTCTCCTTCAGCGGGATGCACAACCTCTTGGCAGTGCTAGTCCTGGCCACCTGATGCCTCCTTGGCAGAACTTCTCTCTACTTCTGTAACTAGAGCAATCTTTCTGCAGGTGGGGGTGGTGGTACATGCCTGTGTTCTCAGTGTTCTGGGAGGCTGAGGCAAGAGGGTGGCAAGTTTAAGCCCACCCTGTCTTAGTGGCTTAGTGAGACCCTGTCTCAAAGTTGAAAAAGAAGAAAGGGCTGGGAATATAGCTCAGTGTTGAAGATCTGGGTTCAATCCCCAGCCCTGGAAAAAAGAACATCTCTCCAGGGATAGTTTGATGAATTGAGGTGAGAATGCCTGTCAGGTCTGATTCCATTAACTTTCACTATTTGTTTTTTAATTTCTGGCCAAAAGAAGTGCCGGCTTCCTCTAGGTTGTCATTTGTTCCTTGCGAGGCACAGAGTGGCTGCCTGCTGGACCCACGACTGTTGTAGCTCAGCAGAGTGCTGACTGGGGGTGACTGGGAGTGAGCCTGCCGAGTAACCCACACCCATGTCCTCGTCCCTTTGTGTGCCAGGCGGTGTCATTAACTTGTCTGTGCCCATCGTCCTGACGGCCACGCAAGAGGACAAGGAGCGGCTGGATGGCTGCACCGCGTTTGCGCTGATGTACGAGGGACGACGCGTGGCCATTCTTCGCAACCCGGAATTTTTCGAGCACCGGAAGGAGGAGCGCTGTGCCCGGCAGTGGGGAACCACCTGCAAGAGCCATCCGTACATCAAGGTCCTGGCTGTGCCTGGCTGCGCTTCCCAGTTGCCAGCGGCACAGAGATGCAGGCTCTCTGGGTGTCGACGCATCTGCTGGCCTTGTTAGCATTTGCAGAGAGGCAGCTGGGTCTTAGATCAGTGTGATTGGCTCATGAGCTTGTTTCAGCTCAGATCAATATTTATTTGGCTGATATTTTCAGTATATTTAATTTTTGGTGCTGGAGATTGAACTTGGAGCTTTGTGCCTGTTAGGCTGTGCTCTAACTCTCAGCTCCATGCTTTAGTCGATAGCAGATATTTAAAAAAATACCTCCTGTGTCCCAGGCGTGGAGCAGCATGCTGGTATTTAGAATACAGGGCTGGGACATGCTGGGTAAATGCCAGTGCTTGCGGAGTGTAGTGGAGTGCATGCGGAATCTGTACTCAGAGGGACCTGCACCAGGGGTCTGGTCCACGCCAGGCGTTGGTGTGGAATTTCCAGCATGAAGGTGGTGAGGTGCAATTAGTGTTCCAGCGTGCCTCATTCACTGCATTGTTGTGTGTGGAATTTAGCATTAAAGTCAAGCTTTTGCCAGTTCTGTGTTGCATTAAAGCAGACTTTGAACCTGAAAGTGGCATGGTGCATTGTGGGAGTGTAGACCTTACATGTGTGAGTGGGACCCTGGGTTCCAGCTGCTCTGTGCAGAGGGCTGGTCCTCTGGGGTGCTGTCTGCTCAGTGAGGTGCCAGAAGGAGAAGTGAACTCCGGAGGAGCTCAGCATGGTGATTTGTGTGTGAACTGGACGGACTAGAATTTGAATTTGCTTGTAATCACAGAGCTTCAAAAATTTAGGGCTGCAGGGTGGGGTGGGAAGGTGGTATCCCAGGTTACATTACTGTTCATTAACACACACACACACACACACACACACACACACACACATTTTTTTTTTTGCTGGCTTAGCTCACCCTGAGGGTGGGGCTGGCGCAGCATGTGGTACTGGGGATTGAACCGTGGTCCTTTGTATCTGCCTAAGCTTGTCTAAACAGGTGCTTTAGTCTGCTGAGCTATCTTGTGGGCCTGTTCATTAACATATAGCAGTGAAAAGGATGCCTTTATCACCTTAAAAGTCCCAGTTGTTCAAATTGCCTTTGTTTGCTGTTCGTACGTAAATTTAATAGTTGTCTCACACGGTTGGAGAAATTACAAAACATTCTAATTCCAGCAATGATGAGCCTAGCAGAATTTGTTTCCTCTGAGGTGGAGATTAGATCACAGCTGTCTGTCTGTCTGTCTGTCTGTCTGTCTATCTGTCTGTCTATCCATCTATCCATCCATCCATCCATCCATCCATCCATTTTGGTTTTTAAGACAGGGTCTCACTGTGCAGTTCACTTTGTGGCCAGGCTTGCCTCAGACTCACAGTGACCCTACTGCCTCAGCCTCCCAAGTGCTGGGATCCCCTTGTGCGCCATTGGGCACGGCCCCTCGCAGCTGCGTTTAGAGGGGATGTTCTTCCCCGCTGTGATCTTGGCTTCTGCTTAGAGCTGTTACTTTCTCTCTCCTCCATCAGATGGTTATGGAGCAGGGAGACTGGCTGATCGGAGGGGATCTTCAGGTCCTGGACCGGATCTACTGGAACGATGGGCTTGATCAGTATCGGCTCACTCCTGCTGAGCTCAAGCAGAAGTTTAAAGACATGAACGCTGGTAAGTGGTGGGTCTGTGAAGCTGACCTGGGGCTTTGTGGCCAGAAAGTCCTGGATGTTTTCTCTGATGCTAGGGAAGGGATGCGTAGAGGCCTTTATAGCAGAGAACTAGGGTGCCCCGGGGAGTTCTGTTCTGTTGGTGTAGTTGGACCTCATGCTTTGCACAGTGTGGAAGGTGGATGCTAGTAACACATGTACACATCGGCCTTCAGTAGAAACACAGACCAGAACTTAAGCGAACAACCCTCTGACGTGGACTTCCTGTGCCAGCAGAGTGGCCGAGCTTTCTCACTTTCACTGTTAGGCATCGTCTGCTGTGGGTTTTTCTTCGCCCATGTGCCAAGCACTGAGGCCCAGAAATGGATATGAGAGGCATGTATGGTGTGGGAGAAAGAGGGAGCCAGGAAAAGTCGCAGAGAGTGTGGAGGAGGAGGGCGGGCACGCTCCAGGCGTTACTGGCTGAGAGAGGCAGTGCGGTAAGACAGGAAGGCCCAGCGCTGTCCTTCTGGTGCATGGACACGGCACCCACCAGGACCTGATACAGCCTCCTGCTGGCGGGTGCTCACCAGGGATGGCGGTGGAGTCCGGGGGCCCATGGGACTCAGGATACCATGGAGATCTGGAAAGTGTGAAGATCCTGGCCCCTGCAGAGGTCGGGTACCTGCGCTGAGTCTGGTGGGTGTGGCTGGAGGGAACCAGGGTGTGCCACTGCCTGCGTGGGAGGCCGCTGGCCACATGCTCTGCTGGTGACCGAAGCCCTGCTCATGAGGGACTGGTCAGTTTCCATGTAGCCTGGGCCCTAGCTCTTAGCTCCTTCCCCAGAGGACTCCCTGCAGCACTGTGAAAGGGCAATGTAGTCAGATGTGTGAGACCCGTGAGCCAGCGCCTGGCACATATTAGGAGGTGAGGGTATCGGGGTCGCTGTGGGCAGAGCCCCTCTGCCTGCATCTGAGTGGAAAAGAGAGCAAGAGCCGAAGTTTGAAGTCGCATGAATTTAACTCAGGTGAAGAACTGGAGGCCTGAGGGAGGGAGCTCACCCCTGCACTCGCTTCTGTCCTGCGTTCTCATGCGCACACACTTGAGGGGCCTCCCTCCTCTTTTGATCAGGAAGTGGATGTGTGGCCAAGCTGTGTATCCCAGCAGTGTGGCAGCTCATACTGTCCTTCCTGGCTGATACAATCTTGGGGCCCAAGTGAGGGCTGCATAAGGACTAACGTCACTGAGGCGTGGCACCCGGGCTGCAACATGAGGGCCATGTGTCATCAGTGCCGAGCTCTGTGGTATAAGGGAAGGGGCCTTGGAATGGAAAAATTTTCCTTCCTGATAGGAAACTGGCATAGGGAGACCTCTTTCCCAACGAGCAGTAAGTGAAAGCTTCGGCGGTCATTTCCCAGCCTTCTTCCCACTCCATGCTTTCCTGTGGAGGTGACAGCACTGTGGCTCCTGCAGCCTTCCATAGCCATGAGCACCCTTTACACCCTAACCTGAGTCCTCAGTGTGTGTTTCTCCTCCGACCTGGGAGGCATCTGTCCAGATTTCTTTTCTGCAGAAACAATGCGTATTTGAGGTACATAAGACACCTGGAGTTCAGTCTTCTGTGGAGAGTTCCATCCATGTGCACTTCTGCAAGCACGGTGGGTGGAGTGCATGTGAGGCCACCTTGCTCTGTGGTGCCCGGCCACCAACCGAGTTCCTCTCTGGAGCCAACGTCAGTCAGTTGGTTGTTGGCACCCTGGAGAGGTCTTATCGTGGAATTATTGCTCATAATTAGGACTTCAATATTACATCTGTTTTGCAGTCTTCTTTGCAAGCCAAACATTTTGAGTTGTTTGGGGAATTTGTTGCATAATGAATGATTTCAACTTTGTTTAAAGTAGCTGAGAGCCAGTTATTAGCCTTACATCAAACAGCAAAGATTCACGGGGTTATTTTACTTTTCCATTTTAGACTGAGGCAAATAAGCAACAGACCAAGAAGTTTACTTTGTAGTTCTTGTTCACTCTTGGGAAGCCAGTAACACATCATCTATGCTTGTTCAAAGGAGAGAAAGCAGGCAACTTTTTTTGCCATAATCTCTTTCTTACCTTTCCTTCCTTTGCTTCTTGAAGATGTATTTTGATTCCCCTACGTGGGCTGTCATCCTGTGCCAGAGTGTCATTAATTCAATCAGCTGCCTCTTCCAACACCCCTCTGAGGTCTAAGGATGGCGGGGTCTCTGGTACCCATGCCTGTGAGCAACGCGATACCCTTCCAGATGGTGAGGTCTCGAGCCTGTGCCAAGTGACCAGTCCCAGAGAGACAGAGTGAATTCCATTTGAGCCCAGTGAGGGCCTGGGCTTTGCATTCCAGTCGGAAACCTGAGGTTCTGCCTGTTACCACAAGAGGGAAGAGGGCCCATTGTGCCTTATAGCTGTGCACAGCAGTGTTGCTGGATGCATCTGAAGGTTTTGTGGCATTGTAGGGTGCGGAGCTAGTTCAGATGACTGGAGATGTAGAGGAGCATCTTGGTCAGACCGGGGTGACCACAGGAGGACTGGAGGGTTGTCTGCCAAGGCTGTGGCTTTGACTGCAGAGAGCCATGAGCTTGAGGTGTGACAAGAGGGCCTCCGTCTGTCTGTGGGTCCCAGGAGCCAGCAGGAATGCAGAACGTCATCTCTATTTGATGAACACAGGGACACACACGGGCCTGCGGAAGACCAAAGCCAGCTGTACTGTGACAGGCCACCTGTGGGGGCTTCTACTCTGATTTCCTCCTACAGCTCTGATTTTTCCTTTAAGAGGGGGGATTAAAAAGTCAAATGAAAGAGCAAGGGTTGGAGTTGTGGCTAGCAGGCCTAGGGTCTGGCAGGCAGAATGTCCATCATGTCCCTGCTGGCGTCTCCCTGCCTGCTGCCCTAGAGTCCTTGTAGGGAAGTGGAACTGTGGAAGAAGCCAGAGATAGAAGGAGGAGCCTGAGGCCCCAGGATGGAGGGCCCCGGGGCATATGCAGGCCCACAGATGAGTCTGAGAGGCGGAGGAGGTACAGCCTGCCTTGAGGTTTACAGATCGCTGCCTTGCCCGGCCTCGCTTGGTGCCCGTGGGCATGCGGCAACCAGATGGGGAGATGCTGCAGTGGAGAGGCCTCCGAATTCTCTGATGTCCCTGCATGACCCCTTTCTCCAGTGTGCAGTCAGATGCCTCTGTCCAGGCCTGGGAGAGAAGATGGGAGAATTGGTAGAATTTTAATGAAAATGAGTACAGCAACCTTTGGGGGTTTGCCTGCTCCTCTCCCTCCTGGTGTCTATCCTGACAGTCCAGCTAGGCAGTTTTCTGGGAAACATTCTTCATGATTCCAGTTTGCCCTTGCAGGCCCCTCAGCTGCCCCACCCCCTTCCCTGCAGTCTGTGCTGGGTGGATCCTGCCTGTGTGCCCTGCAGTGTGGTGAGGTGCGATGTGTGCTCCTCAGACGAGGCTCTGTGCCTGCCTGTGCCGCTGACTTGGAGCGGGAGGATTTTCCTTTTGCTCCTACCTCGCACAGTCTGTCTTTCAGGGCTCTGGATCTGGCCTGCTGTTCTGTAAATGCAGTTATGGCAAGCGCAGCCCTTCCAGGGGTGTGTGTGGTTCAAGGCTGATGCTGCAGTTTGGAGTAGGGGTGGGGGGCTGTGAGTCCACGCAAAGACCTCACCTGCAAAACCTGATGAACCCTGGCTCCTTCTACAGAGTGCGCGTCCCGGACCCCAGGTTGTTGGGCTCGCTGTGGTGCTTTCCAGGACTGGGAGACCAGGGGTTAGAAAGAAATGGCAATTGTAAATGTCTGAAAGTCATCATGTAGTCATCTCCCAGACTCAGTAGAAGTCACTCTAGGGGGCAGTAGCCTTAAATAAGCCCCGAGGAGCCTGTGGCAGAAAGGCAAATGTGTGCTTGAGTGTGGCGGGGCCTCCTTCAGGGAACAGGGATGAGAATGCATGCAGTGGACCTGAGTCCCCTGAGTGTCTGTGGCCCCAGGTTCCTGGTATGCACTGTTCTTGTCTTGTCCTGACTGGCAAGTCCTTCATTTCCTGTGTACAGAGCAGACCTAACTCCATGACAGTCATGTTCCATGCCCTGGGCACGCAGGTAGTGGTTGATGTCATGAGCATTACTGTTTCTGGTTCTGCTTGTGTGTGTGGCTGCCTTGCCCTGAGCGTGCGCCTGTCAGATCTTTCCCCGTGGGAGGTCGCATGGCCATTGCTGACTTGGGAACTTCTCTTTCCAGATGCCGTCTTTGCATTCCAGCTGCGCAACCCAGTGCACAATGGCCATGCGCTGCTGATGCAGGACACGCACAGGCAGCTGCTAGAACGTGGCTACCGGCGGCCCGTGCTCCTGCTGCACCCCCTTGGTGGCTGGACCAAGGACGATGATGTCCCGCTGATGTGGCGCATGAAGCAGCATGCTGCAGTGCTGGAGGAGGGCATCCTGAACCCCGAGTCCACTGTGGTGGCCATCTTCCCCTCCCCTATGATGTACGCTGGACCAACCGAGGTAGGCTGTGCTTAAGGCTCCCAAGAAGCACCCCCGTAGATCTCAGCAGCGCCCCCAGCCAAGCCTGGAGCACCCAACAGCCCTGTGTCTGGGATGTGCCCTTGGCTGGGCCCATGTGGGAAAGGGGTTTCCGCTGCTTTGCTGTGTGGTTTTGGTCCTACGTGTGGGAGAGGCTGACATAGGCCTGTTGTTACAGATGCAGTGTGCATAGTACTGGTCCCCTGGGCATCTTTAATAGGCTTGGGTCACTCTCCAAGGGACAGGCTTGGGCTGGTTTTCACCTTGTCCATGTTTTGCTAGAGCTAAAGGTCTTTCTGTGGGAAGAAAAGCATACTGTATCCATCAGCTTTCTGTCCCCATGAAGAATACCCAGCACGGTCACCCTGTAAGAGGCAGGGACTGTAAGAGGCCACAGTCCCTGATCCGTGGCCTCTTGATTTTGGGGCCTGGCAGCACCTCTTAACAGGAACAACAAGCCAGTACCCTCATGCCTAGGAAGTGAGAGAAGAGGGTGTGAGGATAGCCCTGTCCTCTTTAGTCATACCCCAAGGGCCAGAAGCCCTCCCATTGGCCCCCCCATCCACAGTCCTGCCCCTCCCAGAGTGAGGCCAGAGCCCAGGTCCTGAGCAGCTACCCCCGGCTCTTGCTTCCTCCCAGGGCCCCCAGGGATTCCTGTTTACCCTGAAGCCTGGAGAGCTTAGAGAGCGTCTGGGAGACCATTTCCACAGGGGAAGCAGGATTGCTGCTTGCTGTTGGGGAGAAGGTTCCCGTCTGGCACTGCCTTGTGCTCAGAAGGAATGCTTGCCATCTTTATGTCCTCATAGAGAGAAGAGGGCTTCACTGGATGTGAGGTTCAAGGTAGAGGAGGCTATCCAGAATATTTGTTGCAGGAGTGAACAAATCAGCGCATGACCTCAGAAGCAGCAGTGAGACATTCCAGCCAGTTTCTGGCTGAGATTTCAAGGCAAAAGTAAGTTTGGTGTTAGGGCTGCATTCTATTTCCTCCTGGCCTTAGAAGGAGATCACTTCACCAAGATGGATCTGAGAGGGAAGCCAGTTTAAAAAGTCATGTAGTTATGCAAACTCTGCGATGTCTTAAATCCCAACCCAAATTTTACACGTTTAAAAACCTAAAATTTTAAAATGAGGTCATAGTATTATATAGTTTGCTATCTCTTTAGCCTAGATTGGAATTTAGTTGTAGTGTAGTATACTTTGTTATCTTTTTATCCTAGAAAATTTAACAGTGACAAGCTGTACAGAAGTGCAGGCCTGTCACCCTAGCACTGTGGAAGCTGAGACAGGAAGATTGTGTGTTGGAGCCCAGCCTAGGCAGTTTGACAGCTTAGCATGACTCTATCTCAAAAAACGAGAAAGGACTGGGGATGCAACTCAGTGTGAAGGCCCTGGGTTCCATCCCCGGGACCACAAAACAGAACAAGAAGCTGACTGATGTGAGTGTACAGGGTCTTCTTTTCAGCTCAGCCCTGTAATACATGTACAGCACCGAGACTCCCTGCCATCCTCTATTCCTTGGTCCCCATGAGAACTGGCCAGTGACAGCCGCATTTACCACTGTGGCCTTGAGTTCTGACGTCTCAGAGAGAAGCTCTTTTGGAAATATAGTAATGGTTTTGTTCTAGTAGTTGACCTTTGGTCAGTTATGAAGTCATTTGTTCTGAAGTTCTCCTGAATTATGGGTGGATGTATCTAAATGTGTGAATGACTCACATTTGGGGCCGTTGTCCAGGATGCCAATGTGCTCTACTTCAGGGGCACATGTCCTGGCCTTCCTCAGTGTGCTGGCTGTCACAGGACCTGTCCTGGCTCCTGTCTTCTCTGTCACCATAGGACCTGTCCCGGCTCCTGTCCTATCTCTGTCACCACCCTTGGGCAGAATCTCTCAGTAAAGGCAGTGAAAAATGTTGTTGGAGCTCTAGGCATGGGTCGGGGCCTGGCTCCCTGCCAGCAGGTTCAAGCTGTTGGGTCAGTCTTGTTCAGATTTCTCTGATCTCTGCTTATGTGCACATGAAGTGCTTGTTTGCAGGAGGCATACCTAGGGCTCAGTATTTTGACCGTTTTCTATCTGCCTTACTCTGTTTTCACTTTATATTACTTTCTAAATGGGAAGAAGTACACACTTGGTAAGTTAAGTGGAATTTCTCCAGTTGAACATAAGCTTGCAGCCAGCACCCAGGATGGAAGACAAACCGCATTCGGTGCTGGAGGTCTGTTCTTTGCTGCTCTGGTTTCTCCTATCCTGGGCCTGATACATTAAAGGCGTCCTGTGGGACTCCAGGTCTGCACTCAGATTCAAGCTGTGGAGCTCTTGTGGTCCCCACATGTGGAAGGGCAGAGGAAGGCAGCGAGAGCGGGAGAAAGAAGCTTAGTCTCAGTGGAGGCCAAAGTTTACCCCTCTGGTAGTTCTGGAAGAGGCCTTCAGTAGCAACATCCCAGGGTCAGGAGTGCCCTGGAAAAGGCTGTATGGGCATCAGGCTTCCTGCATCTGGCTGTGCCTTTCTGAGCACACGCCTGTCACCTGTAGCAGGAGAAGAGTCCCCGGGTCCTGGGCCACTCATTTGCCCTGGTAGTAGACAGCTACCAGCCTGGCTGGCTCCCTGCATGGCGGGACCTTCCCACCCCACCAGCAGCGCTGCTCGGTCTTGGCTGCCTCTGCTGTTGCTGCCCTTGTGCTGCGCAGCCACCTCTGCAGTACACTCACAGCCTCTTATCTAAGCTCATGCTTTCTTCTCTCCTTGGGCCACTTCACTAGAGCAGAGACCGGGACTGACAGCAAGTGAGATTTGGTTGCAGTTGATGATTAAGAAAAATGCCCCCTTCTGTTGAGCTCCCACTGTGTTTGCAGGATTCTGAGTGTGTTACAACTTAACTCATGTGATTTTCCTAGTGTGCTGAGAGGCCTGGTGCTCTGTGTCCCCCATCTTACAGACGAGGAACCCAGCAGGGAGGCTAATGGACCTCCTAGCAGGTGAATCTGAGGAAGCTGGACGTTACCGTCTCACAGTTCTTTATTTCCTTTGGTTCTGGGGATCAAACTTGGGACCTTGTGCTTGCGTTGCAGGCACTTATACCACTGAGCTGTATCTCTGGCGTTCACAGTTCTTGCATTTTTCCTTAACATTAAAGTATTTGTAAAAACATGAAACCACGTATTTCTTGAAAACAGATGGGAACTGAAGTCATGCAGGAGTTCTAGAATAACGAGTCAGGAAGCCTCTGGCGTTTCTTGCTGGTGAGCTGCGCTGTGTAGTGCTTGTTGCATGGTGCGTGGATCTCAGCTTCTTCCCCACCTGCAGCAGTGGCCTTCAAAGCCCTGATGCCTCTGTGTGTTATCACCCTTTGTCTTCTTACAAGGCTCTGGTGGGATTGGCGTGCCTCCCCATGTCATTATGAGCAGCGGGTAGGATAGTGCAAACTGCTACATCGCCTGGCTTATGATAGTATGGGATAGTATTACTGGGGGCCTTAGAAAATAACAAGCACTTTGTATTCAGTTCCCAGTGCCCTATTCTGGCTGCTTGTAGGGAGCTGTGTGTGTCTCAGGACTGCCTTGTAACTGGAGTCCTAGAATTCAGAATTTAAAAAAAACTTCTATTTATTTGGTACAGGGTCTCGCTACACAGCTTGGACTTGTAGTGATCCTCCTGTCTCACCCTCCCCAGTGCTGGGATTACAGGCATGTTCCACAATGCCTGGTTTTGGTGGCTGGCATAGTCTGAACAGCATGAGGTACCAGGGTTCAAACCCAGGTCCTTGTGCTTCCCAGGCAGGTGCTTAGACCACAGAACTATCTCCCTACTCCGTCCTTGATTTTTAGACCTGGCAGAACTTGGGATGGCCTGTTTGTTTCACCATCCAGGCCTGATTTGGAATCTCTTGTGGTGCTTAACAAGGCATGAAGCTCTTCGAGGTAGGAAATGGAAACAGTTTTGAGTGCCTGAGTCAATGCTTAGGGGATGTAGATTTTATTCCCACATCACCAGCAAGGTACAGTCACTTACTGGTGTGCTATCATGAGGGACCAGAGTGGGCGGTAATTGGGGCAGTAAACCTGGTTTTATTCAAGATGTCCTGATAGAGGAGTGATATCAGACTTCCAGTTAGTATAGATATCCCAGCCTGCTAGATATCTCATATGCTGAATTCATGTTCTCCAAAATAGAAGAATGTATTCTAGAAACAACAGAGGTTAGGAGTAGGCAGTCTTCACTGAGGGAAAGACAGGTTCTACCCGGGAGAGACAGGAGGGCCCAGAGTGGGCTGCCACAGACTCCGCTCTTAGGGGAAGTTTTACAGAGCACAACCACATGGGTACAACGTGGATTAAAGCTGTGGTTAATAAGATTACAAGTACAGCTGCTTAGGTAATATTGATCCAATAGGTAAGCAAGTCACATAGCAAGTGCACTTGGGAAGAACAAAGATCTGTTCAGGAAGAGATGACTCCGAGGGTCTTGGTCACATACTGAGGTGACAGATATCCATGTAGATCTCATTAGACCGGGTGTCACCACTTATCTTAGTCAGGTCATTCTGTCTTTATCTTGAGGCCTGGCCTCCGAGAGATGTGCATCCAGTCACGATTGTGATGAGCTCTCGTCTTCTGCACTGATTCCTTCGAGGGCCCAGCCTGTCTGCCTGCTTATAGTGGTTCCACCAGCTTGGCTGTTTATAGTACTGCCTCAAGAGGGAAAAGTCTTTAGTGTAGAGCTGGACTGTGAACCAGTTTGGCTAAGTCAGGGTGCATAGCCAAGGAGCAGTGTGGGGCCAGGGGACCCAAGAGCACCAGGCGAGAATGGCAAAGAGAACTCGATGCCTGTGTTTAAGCTGACCGAGAGGGTTCTTGGCCCAGGTGTCAGGGTGGCCCACGACTACCACAGTGCATGGGGAGGAGTTTGCACAGAGATGTGTGATCTGCATTGGAGGATTCTTAGCAGACGCTTGGGCATTGTTGTTACCAGGGACCACACAGGCCCAGTGAACATCTGGTGGCTGGGCTGAGAGCGCAGGGTGGCCTGACCTGATATGGTCATGGAAAAACCTGGGAGACTCAGGGCTGGGACTCAGGAGCCTTATCCTTGGCAATTGGGGAAGGGGCTGAGAATTAGGCTGTGGGTACTCAGGGCAGCCCCCTGCTCCCTGGGCCCAGGGCTGGGGCTGCCTTGGTGGAATCAGAAGGCAGAGATATAGCTCTTTCAGGAAGCCTGTGTGTCAGTATGTTAGGCCATTAAATGCTTTAATTCTTATGACCTGGAGAGGATCATACTGCTGGGGTAAAGGGTTTGGGAGGACTTTGCCTTGTTTTCTGCAGTGGTACACTGGTTTGCTTGACCACTTACAGCTTTTATGTGAAGAATTTGCTTATTAAACATATGCACGTGCACACACACACACACACACACACACACCAAACCCTCATTTTTGTAACTTTTCCTATGACATCAGGAACAAGTCTGCCAGTAATGAATACTCGCCAGCTCATAACAATAAAATGCAAACACTGATCTTCCTTTAATCATTTCTCATAGGTCGTTCAGAAGGCATTGGTACCAGATTTGTTCCCTTCACACAAATCCTTTTCAGAGCAGCGAGCAGCTGCTGAGACTGGTTATCAACAGGATGTTCCTGATTTTCCAGTCTATAAAGATTTAATGGTTTAATTCCTAAATTCCCTAGCCTTGATGGAGGCTGGAGGCAGGGAGAATTGACTTTCTAATCCTAATTTTTGTCTGTGTGAGGAATTAATCGACAATGTAGGAAATACACTTTGTCTTACTTCATGAGAAACTAAACAGTATACTGCGAGGGGAAAGTAAAACAGCCTGTGAAGCAAGAGTTCTGTATTGAGGCAGGATTATCCTTAGAGAGTAAGAAAGTGACAGCATTTTTGGGTGATGGAAATTTGAGAATTTAGTGCAGAAGTTTCTCAGAGGCCTTCAGAGAAAGGCCTGCAAACCTCAGAGGCCCTGTTGTCCCTGTGCCGGATGCCTGGAGGCTGAGAAAGGAGGGGCTCCTGTCTTCACACTTCTGGGTGAGGACACAGCAGGTCCACTCGGCTGGGCCACCAGCAGTGCTCGCCACCCATAAATAAAATTCCTGTTGTATCAGGATGTTAATGGTATTTGTGGTGTGTGATAGTTGGTATGGCGTGGTATCTAGTTCTAGTTATGGAGTATGTTATTTAGCTCATTGATAAAAACAAAGCAGAAAATAAATCATTTATTGTTTGGCTGATCATTTACAGATGATTTTAAATGGGTTTATAGGAAACTTCTGGAAGTCTCCATGTTTTCCTTCATCAGCATCTGTCCCATGTCCCACACTGCAGGTGCCTGGGGCAGTGCCTCCTAAGCAAGCTCCTAGGGGAGGAAATAAATAGGCTGTTCAGATGAGCCGGCGGCTGGCCCTGGGCTTGCAGCTCCCATCTCCTGGGTAGCCAGTCGTTGAATCCAGGACCTTTGATTGAGCTACACCCCCAGTTCAACTTGAACTGTGGCCTCCTTTCTCAGCGTGGCAGAGTGCTGGGATTCTAGGTGTGCGCCACCTGGCCCTGCTGATGTGTGTATTCTTACATCGCAGTCACCATAGCTGACTTGCACTCCTTTGGTCAGTTGTAAGTGGACTCACAGAAGACCCTCCTTTTATCCATGTCTCAAACTAGTTTCAGAAGAGCTATACACTAAAATGTAAATTGAGATTCATCAGGCAGGTACAGGAAAACTCTGTCCCCCTGTTGGTCTGCTCACATTTAATCCATTTGTAATCCCTAGGAATTAAGGAGGTGACTTAATTCTGCTGGGATTTTCCAAGCCTTAGAATTGGAACCGATATGGCTGAGTGTGCTTTGTGACCCTGGTTCAACGCTTCGTTGTTCTGGGCTCCAGTTTCCTCCCATTTGAAAGGAGCAGACTGGTTGGATTAAATGATCCAAGCTTCCTAGCATATGTATAAAAAGTCAGACAGCCACTGCGTACTGACCTAATGTTTGAAGGATAGATGTAAATATTTAGCAAGCAGATTAAGTTCACTGAAATTTGGAGGACTGAGGCTTCCCTGTTATCCCTGTACACTGCACTTTTTTTTTTTTTTTTTTTTTTTACTCTGTTGATGAAATATCTGGAAATGGGAAAGGGGACCATGAGATAGGCGAGGGACATAAAGAAAATTGAGATGTGTTATGCACAGGTCCCAGCTGCCTTCAATAATCATATTGCAAGTGTGAACTGATCAAATTGTGTGTGTATAAAGTACTTGATGCAAGAGAAACTACCAGGAAAAATAAAATGAAACATAGTAACAAGTAGGGGTAGGGTCCTCTCCTTGCCTGCTGTAGGTAAGCAAAACCCTGTAGCTTAGGTCGCTTTCATCCAGTATTTTTTTTTTAACCCATGAAACCGTAAGGTGGGGAGAGGGCTGTAAGTTGTAAGTGTGCTAACAGTGCAGAGCACTTTCACAGTGACTGCAACCTGATTGCCAGTACCCAGACCCTGGATCCAAAGCCCTGCATCCCTGCATCCCAGGGGACCCTGGCAGTTACTTCCCTCCCAGGGCAGCGGCCGTCCTGACCTCTCAGAAGGTGGATTCTGAGCTTCATGACATTTCAGCTGGTTGGAGCCACACACAGAGGCATGTGTAACCTCCCGGGTCTTTTATAAGTCATACATGAAGATATGTGTACATGTTTATGCTTTTTGATTTTTGGTGGGTTGGTTTTCTGAAGAGTGGCAATACAGGTCTCAGTTTCCCAGATAACACAGGTGAGAGTTTTTACCACTGGACAACACTGAGAGCATGTGCAGTAATCATCCTGCTGCTGCTGCTGCTGCTGCTGCACAGGGCTTGATCCTGGGCACAGCCATGTCATAGGCAACTCTTCTCCTAGGTCCAGTGGCACTGCAGAGCGCGGATGGTGGCAGGGGCCAATTTTTACATCGTCGGCCGAGACCCAGCTGGCATGCCACATCCAGAGACGGGAAAGGACCTCTACGAGCCCACCCATGGGGCCAAGGTGCTGACCATGGCCCCTGGCCTCATCACCTTGGAAATTGTGCCCTTCCGAGTGGCGGCGTACAACAAAAGGAAGAAGCGGATGGACTACTATGACGCAGAGCAGTGAGTGTCCCACCCGTCCTATGCCTGGGTCTCTGAAGTGTGTGGTCCCTGCTGCTGGCCGGCTTTGGTGTGTGGTTCCATGCATACCGATCTGATGACAGCCCTTGTCGTTGGTGTTTCAGAGCTAGGCAGATCAAGGACACTAAATTTCTCATTATCCTAGAAGTTAGAGGTAGAAATAAAATTGAATGAAGGGTCATGTTCGTGGTTTTAGGAATTCTGGCTTGTTCTTCAGGGTATTAAGGGTGTCTCTACATCTCCCAGGTCTGGGCCCACCTTCCAATACTGACGACTGGGAGTACTGCGCACGGAACTCCCGGGCGTGGGCCAGAGTTGAGCTGATTTGTGTCTGTAGCTCGTGTGTAGTGGTGGTACCCTCTGTAAATTTAAAGCAGCAGCAGCAGGCGGTGTAGAATCAGAAGTCACGGGTTCTCGCTGTGTCTGTGCTGTGCGGCCGGAGAGTCCTGCATCCTCTCTGCCTTTTCCTTCCCTCTGGAGTACGTTAGCTCCCTCCTAGCTCTTCCTGTAGTCCTCAGCACCTAGTGATGTTTGTACCTCAGAAGGCTCTTGTACGTGCAGGTTGTTTTGTGGCAAGACTCTCATTTGGTGCAATTGCTTTTTGGGTGCAGATCATATTACGCAAATAAAGCAGATCATTTAGCAGTTACTTCTTTTTTGATTTACATTTGCCAGCGTCCATTCTACTGACAGGTACTAATTGAACACTGGCGGTAGCCTGGTTTCTTTGATCCGGAGCTCTTTGCCTGTCTTGGTGCACTTACATTGGCTCTGTGTTGAGGAATGACGCCAACCCTAACCCTGTGGCTGCATGTGGTTTGTCGCATGAGGGACAAGAAAGAAAAAGAAACCTTTAAAAAATTAAGATGGTATTTTCTTTTTCTAAAAAGAACGCTGAGTTTATTTTCTTTGAGATACTAGAGTTGTCTGGATAGTGGAACACTGTTAGCACTGCTGCAGACCGAGAACTGGTTGGTCTCTTGTTCAGGGACAGTAATATTGGAGATAGTGCGTGTGCTTTGGAGGCAGCAGGCTTTATGGGCTATGGGCTGTGGCTAGACTATGAGAAAATCTTACGCAGTAAATGCAGACAGTTTGCAGAACTGGCCCTGGACCGGTGGGAAAGGCCCCTCCTGCCCCTGGGCCCAGATGTGGAATTCAGGACAGCAGCTGTGTGGGCCTGCGTTTGCTGAGACTTCAGATGTGACCGAGTCTGAGGCTCTTGGGGGCCACACTAGAATATGAGACCAGCCAAAACCTTTTCATCCTTGTATAAAATCAGGTTTGCCACCACCTCGAGATAGTGCTAAATCATGTGGGACCTTCTTTTAGTCTTAAAAAATATGTATGTGTTTGTATGCATGCACATGTGCAGACATATGTACATGCACTACAGTTTCACTCTATAGAATGTAGCTATAAAAATGGTACACTGAGGGTTATATAATTGATCTTTTTTTAACCAAAGGGATGTCTCTTCATAATTATTTATTTATTTTTTGGGGGTTGGTATCAGGAATCAAACTCAGGACCTTGAGCTTGTCAGACAGATGCTTGTGCCACTGAGCTATGTCCCTGACCCTTTAAAATATTTATAAAATAATTTGAAGAAAAATGAAAACAATTACAGTAAACTGTAGCCTCTGGAACCACAAAGGTGATTGAAGCCTTGAAGTGTACATTATTAAGGAAATTAAGCATTTGGCACACAGTCTTGCTCTTCTGTGGTTTGCTTTGGGCAGGCCACCATCAGAGATTCTAGTGGAGCCAGTCTGCAGCAGGGCCCACCCGCTGGTATTTCTTATAAAGCCCCCACTGCAGCCCACCTCAGAGGTCCAGTGCCTTCCTCTGGATCTCTGTAGCCCACGAGGTCAGAGAGAGGACGCTGGGCATGACACCTTTGGTTTCCCACCCAGCACCCGACTCATTGTCCAGGTTGTATGCAGTAAGAGGTTGTTAGTACTTGGTTACAAGGGCTGTGAGCCACTTAACACCAGTGGAGGGCAAGGAGAGAGAATCATCCTGCCGGTGCCTGAGGACTTTTGCATGGATTTCCATTTTGTTAAGTGAAGAAAATAAAGCCAAGCTAAAGGCAGTATGGAGCCTCCCTGCTCTTCTCCTTGTGCTAGCCATCTGCTCCCTAGGGTCCCTTCTCCTGCTCAGCTGGTCTAGGCCCGTCCGTGTGGATGTGTTGTTGACCAGTGAGCTGAGAAGCCCAAGGTAACTTGCTTAAATCTGTGTAGAATTGTTTCAACCTCTCTTAATCATCCCAAAGCTAAATAATCACATCGGTTCTCATAAGATTTTCCAAAGATGAATTATTGCATGAGTGGCTCATTTCCTTGGAATTTTGGGGGGTTACAAGTCTTAATAAGTTGTAACTTGGGAAGCTTTAAAACTGCTTTAGTTTGCTAATTTTTTATATTTGTGTCCCAAAATAGTTAAGTTGATGGGAATATGTTGGAAAGTGATTAAAATTTTGCAGAAAGCAGTAGTCTTTGATGTAGTGCGAAAACTCGGTTATTAATTATGCACATGAGGCTGTCGTATGTTTGATTAATGGACATTAGTCAGTGCCAGCATTTGTGTAATTAACGATTTTGTAGCTTTTGATTTGATTAACCACCAGTGTAAGACAAGGCTCAGGGAAAACAATTCATGAAGATTTCTGGCAAGATATTATTGATAGGAATTACTATAACAATCATCTGTTTACATTCAGGGAGTCAAGGAGGTTCCTCTTAGGAGTGATGCAAGGAACCATGAGATGAAAGCCCAGTTTTATCCTATAACAAACTTTTAGAGAAAATTCAATTATCTTATTTATATTTGTTTCTCTTTAGAAAGTAAATATTTTGGTAAATACAAGCACATAAACACAGATTTATTTAGATTACTGAAATAGCCTATGAAAACAAGAAACAGAATGTGGAAGGAAGCGGCAATGGCGCTAACTGGTGGGGTGGGGGAGTTGCCTGCCACTGATGTCTGTGATTCCAGTAGAGTTTATGTTTTTAAGGGTAGGGTGTACTTTTTACTGTAGAAGACTAGAGTCACTATGGAGATGGTTTGTGTGAGACAGGGCCTCCTTATATAGTTCAGGCTGGCCTTGAACTCACTATGTAACCTGAGGTGGGCTCAAACTCATAGTGATCCTCCTGCCATCATACTGCCAGTGCCATTTAAAAGACACTGGAATCCCTTGCATGCTCTGAGAGGTTTGCAAATACCTACCCTTCTTTATGGCCCCCTCACAGCCAGGTGAGAGATGTCTGATGTCCTTGTTTCTATGCTGTGGCTCTAAAATCCATAGGCCAGCGCTACTCAGGTGCTAATTGGGTTACTTTCCTACTGCTAATGTGCCAGCTCAGTGACATAAACTGCCAGCATGAACTACTTTCCCATCCGTTAGGTCCGAAGGTTGGGGGAGCTTGGCTATGTCCCTGATCAGCCTGGGTTTGTGTGTGATGGCCCTGGGAAGCACCTGTGGCCATGTGTTGACTCCAGCCCTAGAGCTGCAACCCCTGTCACCTCGTGAGCCTATGGCGAACTCACCCCTGTCCTGGAAGGTATGCTAGGTCCTTGCCATGGGCCCTCCCGTTCCTTGTGGCATCACAGTGCCCCAGAAGCTGACTCCCTGTGCTGCTTGTGGAGACGAGCAGCCTTTGCTTTTCACGTGGCCATGTTCCATCCACTCAGATCATTTTGCTGGGTGTAGGTCAGCTGATTAGTGACTGAAGGCCCTGCAGAGCCCCTTCCTGGGCAGCAGCCTCACGGTAGCCGCCCCATGAGGGGCTGACCATTGGCCACCTCATACTCTGCCCACCACACTCTGAGCTTTTCTTCAGAGATGTCTTGGTTCTACTTAAGATAACTTGAAGGAGTACGCATCACCATAATTCTCAAAATCCCACCAACCCTAACTTCCATTCCACAGACCCTTAGGTCTGCCTCCTTAGTTACTCTTTTCTCATCGTTGAGACAAAATACTGAACACCCAAAATGAAGGAAGGAAATGGAGAGGTCTCGGAGGAAGGCTGAAATTGAGTAGAATAGTTTGCACAGAGGATGAGACAGGCACTCGAGGAGGCATCTGAAAGCCAAAACAGAATAGAGGGGTGTGTGTGTGTGTGTGTGTGTGTGTGTGTGTGTGTGTTACTGCTGTTGAACCCAGGGCCATGACACTGAGCAGTAGCCTCAGTTCTACATCTTGGGGCAGGATTTTGCTGAGTCACTAAGTTGCACAGCCTGGACTGGAACTTGTGGACCTGGGATGACAGGCATGTGCCATGCCAATGTCCAGCTGGGGATAACTGAGCTTTAGTGGTTGCTGGGGCCTGATATAAGTACTCCCAGGTGATGAGGAGGTTAAATTTGCAGAGTTGCTTTTCTCAGCTGGATAAAAATGCAACATTTTTATAAAAAGCACTGTGGCGCTGCCTGTATGACACATCACCATAATCAGCTATTCTGAGGGCCACACTGGGAAGCAGACCAGGTCCTTGTGGGAAGGTGAATGGGAATGGCTTTGCCCTGGCCAACCCTGGAGCTGCAGTGTCCTGGACAGAAGGCAGCATTCTGTTCTGTACCCGGGTAGAGTCAGCCGGGACTGTCCCTTGCCCTGCCTGGGACACTGAGGCTAGAAGCCTGAAGCTCTGCTCACAGGCCAGCTCGAGTTTCCCAGCACATCAGAATGACATGGCAAGACCTGGTGGTGTCATGAGATGGCTGTGTGTGGGGTCTGTGGAGGTCGGCAGAGAGTGGCACAAGCACTTCCTGGATGCCTTCGCCTGTGTCTGGTGCTCCACTCATTCCCGTAAGCAATTCTGCAACCACCGTGAACAGTTTTGGCCTGAAATGACAAAACATACAAGGTGGTAAAGTAACGTAAGCGAGGAGAAAGCCAAAACAAAAAAACAAGCCCCTAGTCTGCAGCCTGTGACAGAACCGTCCACATGTGCTGGACACGAGGTTCAGAGCAA